TGTAAGACTGTAAATGTAACTTCTCCTAACATATTGGTAAATAACTGTCTCTGCATTTGATTATTGTTTATTCAAGTGTTAAAATATTGTACATGCAGTTATATAAATATAAAAATATATTTAAGCACATTTCTGTTATTATAACTTAAATCCTTTTAATTTAGGGTTAAGAAACCCACATTACTCCATCAAACTTTTAAAGAAAATAGCAAATACAAATATCAAACAAGTTATTACAATAACTTTGTTCAATGCTTAACATCCTTTCAAGGGTGCGTTTGCACAATCCCACATGAAGTATTTCATGTGTTGTAAAGCCACGTTTAAAGTAGTCTTCAATGTACTCGCAATACATTTCCATGTCAAATACATAACCAGCTAAAGAGCTGCTTCTATGACTGTGTGTTTAAGTATCTCATAATTATGACTTTCTATCTCAGAATTATGACTATGGGATATTTTTATTATCAAGTCTAACTTTTAATCATTTTTTTATTTAATTATTTTTTTTTTTTTTTTTTGCTGGTGGATTCGCGGGCCACATAAAATGACGTGGCGGGCCGGATTGAGTGTCAAGGGGACAGACAGGTCCAATGTATAAAGTAGAGAAACATATTGTGTCTACTGCTGAGTCTACTATGAATACTACGCAGTAGTCATATGGTTTCCGGAAATGAGGACACATCATACAAGACATTATTCATGTGAAATCACAATTGAACCTTCAGTAGGTCTATTTATATTACATGAATACATCCAGTGGATAGCTTCAAGGCAAGGAAAGATCCTTCCACTACTCTCAGGCTGAAAGGTCAGATTCAGGTTGAGAAAAACAAACCAAACCAAACTCTCCACCATTACTCCAGCCTGATCTGATCACTGGGAATGGCAGCGTACTCTGTATTTGTTTTCCTCCTGCAAAGCTGCACCTTAACCGTAACAAAACAATGCCTCCCACTCCATAACAGACCCTCTAAGACCCTCTGCTCTGGCCTGTAGGCTTGTTTTTTTTTCCATGTGTGCCAAACATGTATGCATCCACTTGTTGAGAGCCGAGTGAAGAATGAGTCATTTGACCGACCGCTCTTTTCTTTTCTTTTTCTCCTCCACCTCTCAGTAAACCAATGTCTTTGTTCTTTGTACTGCTGTAATCACAAACATGTCACTCAGAGTGTAATAATGGGATTATTCATTGCAAACTGACCACAGTATCTCTCACTTCAAATGTCCTGGCTGACTGTTGTTGATGAATAGCCGCTTACACCCTGGATTGATATTTGAAAGCGGACTCAGAGTAACACCTGAATACAAATGCCTTTCGTTATCCTCCCTATTGTCTGCCTGCACTCTCAGTTAAGGCGCTGGTTTACTGGGAAAATGCCAGCATTTTCAGAAAACGCTTGTCCATAAAATGACTCCAGCTTTCATCTATAATCACCGCTTTTATAAAATGTATACGATATATAATATCTATCTTCTGCAAAGGGCAAAGACTCCTGATTGACAGTGACCAAACAACCCACCAACTACCGTCAGATTGTGATTCATATAGAATCGATTGGTGCACAGCAGTAAGTGACATCACCTTTGTCCAACTGCGCCCCCCCCCCCCCCCCCCCCCCCCCCCCCCACACACACACACACACACACACACACTTCAAATCAATGAAAAGAGCAAGCAGAAAAAAATAAATAAGCATCATGAGAATAAAGAAGTTCTAACTTTGACAGACAACCTCAAAGACTCCTGCACGTCCCACCAGAGAGATTACTCTCTGTCTCAATATTGACAGAAAACAAAATGACACGTTTCTACTGTATGAATCACACCTCAATATTATCACGTGATTTTTTTAAGGAGTTAATCAGTGGATCACAGAAGTCTGCCCACATCACTGGCACCGTCTCCAGACTGTGCTCTCCAAGGACTCAAGAGCTTATTATGAGCCGACTCTTTTAGAATAATTGATTGTATTTGACATGACATGTAGGAAGCTCGGATTGATACTCCGCAGCAGAGCCCTGATCAATCCAAATGAGAGACTGGGGGAGCTTTTATTTCTCTGCCAGAGTTTATTAGAAGCAACTCTGTTTCTCTGGAGAAACTCTCGGACCCATTGGTGTCCGGGAATATAAATTAGCGTGATCCCTCACCTCATCATGCCTGGAAATATTCCCCGTACACTTGTTTGACAGAACATAATGAAACATTGAGTTGAATGCCGGGCCATGTTCCACCTACCTTCGCGGTAGGTGTTAAGGCATGAAAGATGTGCTGTGATTTGGTATACTGCACGTCCTGGATGATGAATCAACCTTTGGAGATGACTGCGCATCCTTCAGATCTGAATTTCCTGTGGAATGGGTGTGAAATGGATTTCCTCCCTAAGTTAAACTGCACAACCCCAATACAACTGGAGTGATGTAGTTTAAAAGGTGGATTTTCTGTTTTTAGCATGCATTTCTTTACATTCAATTTATCTAGTTGCAAGGGATTTTCTTTTTATGAATTCCAGAACTGTAATGTTGTGAGACTTCGTTCAGCCGTTTTCCAAGGAAATGTAACGACTAAACCTGTTCAGAGACATATCAAAGAGTCCGTCTGTATGCATCTACCATATCTCTCAAAGCAACAAAGGTAATTCCTTTGTATGCCTCTCACTGTAGAGACCATTAAAAGTTGCTCTAAGTGTGAGAGGCCTTTATCTTTCCCCTTCTGTTTTCAAATGTAAATAAAACCTTGCACATGAGTAGAAAAGCAAGAAAGTAAATGCTGGGGTGGTGTGTGTGCTCAGTCTGAAGCAGTAAACAGCAGATGGTTCGCAGGGCCTCTTTAGCGCTATGGATTTAATTTACCTACCCACCTGAATGACCTGTGTCGAGCTGCGCAGCTGATATGGAGAAGAAAAAAAAAAAAGAAAGAAGCGTCAACAGTTTGCTCTTGTTTACTCCGGTTCCACAAGACTGCAAGGCCAGAGGAGTCGTTTGCACGGAGAAATTAGCTTGTTTATCAGCATTTTGATTTCCGTCCCGCTTCGTTGTCCCACTGACATTTTGAGACGTACATGATCCATGACTGATTCCCAATCAAAATGTATTTGGCTTGTGCAGTTTTCATTGTGGCATAATTAAATGGGTGATGATTAGCTGTCGAGCACATGTGGATGATAGCTTGTTTTGTTTACGCCTTCGAAAAGGTAACCTTGAACATTGCACATCTGTCCTGTCGGTTGGACCTGCTCCAAAGATGCACATCACATAACCAGTAAGACGCCGCAGCTCAGGTCCATACACTAGGATATCGGCTGTTTCAAGGTGATTTGCTGTGGTGTATTTCTTTATTAGCATAAATGGTTGAGTTTGCACCCTCGGACCACCTACTGTACTTCAGAGTTGAGTTAAACTGCAGACAGAGCTTAAGTCCTTGAAAGGTTACAAAAATCTTTAGCCATTCATTAGTGTAAGGGAGGAAGTGTGGAAAGTGATGAAAACTAATACTCTTTCTAGTCACTATGCTATCAGTTGATATGTTTAATATCCCATTACAGGCCCAGAAGTAACCACAGTTCTATGCTGTCAAGAGACAAACACAATCCAGAGGGAAATTACCCATCAGGAAGGCAATACTGTTACTGAGATGCAATTACCAGGCCACTTGTGAGACTTTCAGCCCAGTATCCATGTGTGTGTGTGTGTGTGTGTGTGTGTGTGTGTGTGGTCGATATGTGCAGAACAGCTCTTATGTTTTGCAGAGTAAATTGGATTCTTTGCTGGAGAACAGTTAATTTAGAATATGTCCAAGATGCAAATGATTGATGTGACTATATCGTTACAACTGTAGGTTTATAGTGCAGGGTAGCCTTGTGGGGGAAAAGAAATATTACATCGAGAAAGAAATAGCTTTCATCCCAGAGTTATGGAATTGTGGAAACATTTTTTTCGGACCCAACTCTGCTACTCTCCAGATGGAATAATTAGGATTTTTGAGTTGGCTGTTCACACATTAATTTCAAAGCTAACATTACTTACATTGGGGGAAAACTGTATTCATGCTGTGATTTAGTGTAACTTCATCATATTGTGGATCTTCTGTGCTCATATTTGTTAATAGTGAAAAATACAGCGTGTCTTACAGAGGATTTAATGTACCAATTTAGCGCTGAATCGCATAGCCTGAAAACAAAGACAACAGCACAGATTGGAATGAACATCAGTGTAAACATTTGATAAGGATTGGCTGAAGGCGAATGCTATGCTTTATTATTGATACAAAAATAGAAAGTGTGCAGAAACAAGACTGGCTCTTGTGCGTATTGTATACTCGGCATCGTATCCTTCAACTCATCCTCACAAACCCAGTTAAACGTAATATTTGTGGCGATTGGCAAATGGCTTCACATGGAGATGAATTTCTCAAGTCGGGGACATTTCTATTGTACTACAAATTATCACCTTGATTCTGATAATGAATCACTGCTGCCTTCAATGAACAGCCCCGAACCTTAAACGCAGCACAGAGAGGAGAAGCGGAGCCTTCACCCATTGCAGGGGAAGTGCATGTGCATACGAAACTGCCTTTTCAGAGCGTGAGGCGTGCATGCATAATAAATGTATGACAAAACAATACCCCAGGCACCCGATTATTAATGATATGCAGTGAACTCATTATTAAAGTTCCAAAACAGCTCCTGGAGTAACACAGATGGAGTCAATTAAGCAATGAGCATACTTGCTTGCCTGCCATTTCATCTTCTTTCTTTTATCTCTTGCTTATTACTCCGTGGATGTAATTAGCTGTATGTTTCTCCTCACAACATAACATCCAGTGTTAATAACAGTTATTTTCACCTTTGATTTCAGATAATGTACTGCTTAATAAATGTACCAAATTAGCTCGAGCTGTGTCCTTGGGTATTTAATTTGCACTGCAAGAGGTGTTGAGGAATATACAGTGCTAAGCTGACTTCTCTCTCTCTCTCTTCCCCCGTTTGTGCTCCCAGAGACCTGATGCCTCAAACGCTGGAAGGGCAGATCACCATGGAGAAAACGCCCAGCTACTTTGTGACTAACCATGCCCCGAAGCGCATCCACTCCATGGCACGGGACATCAAGCTTATTATAGTGGTGCGTAATCCTGTCACTAGAGCCATTTCAGACTACACACAGACTTTATCCAAGAAGCCCGAGATCCCCACCTTTGAGGTTCTGGCTTTTAAGAACCGGACGCTGGGTCTTATAGACGCCTCATGGAGTGCGTTGCGTATTGGAATATACGCGCTCCACTTGGAGAGCTGGATGCAGTATTTCCCTCTCTCCCAAATGCACTTTGTCAGCGGCGAGAGGCTCATTGTGGATCCCGCGGGCGAGATGGCCAAAGTGCAGGACTTCTTGGGGCTCAAACGGATCGTCACAGACAAACACTTTTACTTCAATAAAACGAAAGGATTTCCGTGTCTGAAGAAGCCGGAGGACAGCAGCACTCCCAGATGCCTCGGCAAGTCTAAAGGGAGAACTCACCCGAAAATCGACCCAGACGTGATTCGGAGGCTTCACAAGTTCTACAAACCCTTTAACATGATGTTCTACCAAATGACCGGCCAGAACTTTGAATGGGAGCTGGAGGAGGACAGTGAATCTCGTAGCTCTCAGGACTAGCGGACTGCGGCATTGGCACGGCGCAGCCACACCACCAGCCTTCTTCAATAAAACTACTATTGTCTCGCTTCGTCTTCAGAGAGAGTGCTCGAGCACGCCAATCAATCATGGCCGTCTTTGCAGTGTCTGTATCCATTAGCAAGAGTTTACCGACATGCTTTTTCTCTCCCTTCAATACTAATGTTGTTGATGATGGCAAATCATTATTGTAAATACTGAACATAAAATATATTTATATTTGTGAAAAGGAGATGATTTATTCCTTTTGTTTTTAAAGCATAGAGCTGATATAAAAAATCATGTTGACTATGGCAATGCATGCGATAAGTTAAGTGTCCTTACCTCATGAGCCCTAAGGCTAAACTCTGTCTGTTTCTTATCCCCTTACTTTCCTGCAGTTGCCCTCACGCCCACTCACCAGCGTTACAAAAGGATACTCTGTTTCAATGGCTAAGGCCATAACTTGCTCTGTTTTATGTCTTCTCACATTGTCCTGCTGCTTTAGAAGAGAGAGAAAAGAGAAGAAATGATAGAAATGGAGTACAATAATCCTTTGACATGTGCTCATCTTTTCAGTTGTCCGTATTCTGAGTGGAGACAATCCTGCTTTTGTCAGTCTAAGTTTACCAAAGTGTTAATTTACTCAGTGTTCTGGTTGCTCTGCACATATTCAATGAGAGAGCTGCTACCATCATTCAATAATTGGATTGTTTCACTGCATAGTTGAACATTAGCATACTGATGGCCATGCACTCCGACGTGGTGCAGTATCGGTGATTTTGGCATAATTTGACCAATAAATCCATGTACTACAAATGTCAAGGGTTGGCTGTGGATCAAAGTATTCTGCATCTTGACAAAAACAATTCTCCAGTCGCCAAAAACACACCCAAAATATCAATCAGTACTCGGCTGTTTGCCTTGCGAGTCTCCTGTTGTCGCAGTAACACATGTCAAAGGGGACTGAGCGGAAGTTTGTTAACAAACATCTGCTGCGACGCGCTCTTCTGTCGTTAGAGATTAATGGCGTGTTAAATAAACCGCTGCCGCTGGAACAAAGTCAATGTCAGAGAATTTGCTTGTCAAGGAAAGGCTACATACATGCCCAGGTAAATTACCAAGCCATTACTGTATGTACTTAACTTGAATGAGATGATGTGTGGCAGGGAAATGTGCTGTCATCAGAGGTTGACTTGTGAACAGCAGGACTAATTGAGCAGATGCTTGTGTCGAAAATAACAGGGTTTTGCTGTGAAATACTCTTTTACTCATGCAATGAAATAACACTGACCCATCATATTTCTTCATTCTTTTTTTTAAATTTGCATATCTTGCAGTGTGTCTGTCTGTTGTCTCTGGACTTTTCATCAATCGAGACAATCAATACAGCCAATGAGTCAATAAATATAGTCTGCTACACATCACTGGTTGCTCCAGCTATGATGCATTGCTCTGTTAATCCTCCCTGTTCTCTGGCCATGGATGGCTGGATTGGTTCACTCTCCGCAGACCTCTCTGTCACCCTGGGGAGGCCGGCACCAGTAGCTACTTACACAGAGCAATTGATTCAATCAAAGTAAGCACTATACTGCCCTTTGTAGCGCCAAGCTTGAACACTTACCTCAGACTCTCACTATCCCAGAGTCACAACTTCCACTTTGAGGCTTTTCTTTTGCAGCCATCCTTTGGTGTTTTCTGAAAATCTCTGTCTTTCTGCACTTTTACCTCCTCTCTCTTTCTCGCTCCACACGATCCATCCTCTGAGCTGCTATGGCATGGCGGGAAGCCATTTCCCCAAACAGTGCAGCATTCTGACATAATCGGTACTGAAACAAGCTAATCGTATCATTGAAAAACCCACTATTTAAGTGCTTGTCCACAAAACACGTATCTGGAGTGCCTACTAGGAACACTGCAAAATAAGAACAACCAATCAGTTTTTTGCAGGCTAGATTAGAAAATGTGATTCAACCATTGACAACTTAAAATATGGATTTAAGCTCCGTGACATCACCCATAGCTTTCTGAAGAGCATCTGTGAAGCTCAAAGTGGGTTGCCATCTTGGCAGTGACGGCACAGTCCGACTACATGCTAATCCCAAAATGGGCTTAGAGGCGTATCATTGTTGGAGCTGAGGCGGTCCATGCTGACGTAACTGATCGGAATGCTAGTGGCCATGCCCTCAATTGTGCGTAGTTAAGGCTCCGACAATAACTTAAACATATACAACAGTGGTAATGAACTTTGGCTATAGAGACCAAGTATTTCAGACAGAAGGTGAATACAGGTATATTCCCGCAGACAGTTTGATAAGAATGTTTTTTTATTTAAAGCTGGTAATGTCATTATAGAAACACAAAACACGGTTTCCCCGAGCTTTAGAAAATGTTTAATCCACCTTTCAAACAAGACAGTACCTCCCACTCAGTGTAGAGATTCTCAAAGAAATCCACAGAAGACACCCTACAGTCTTAACAGGACAGATGAGGAATCCATTTTCCCTTCTATGAATGTGCCCTCCTGCTGTCATTTGTATTTCCAGGATCACACGCATGAGGGAATTCCTCTCCGAAGTTAAAACTTGGATCCAACCGCTCATTAACAGACACTCTCTCACTCTCTCACACCTCTTTCTTGCTTTAGGTACAGGAGAAGAACTGCGATACATCCTACGAGAGTTGCGACGCATGAAAGGAATGTTAAGCTGTCCTTCATGTGTTCCTCCCAGTGGGGGTCACGCTGCGCTATTCGGTTCAAAAACATCAAGTAAAGAAGACTAGTTGGGCGAGCATCGCTTGCTCATTAAGCCGTCTCTGCTCAAGTGCCATCATCTCAAAACAAAACTACAAATTCATATTTGTCAGTCATTACTGACAATTTGGCAAAGAGCTGCGGCAGTAATTCATGGCTTAAAAAGACAACCTCTATGCACCTTTAAAATGATTTGCAGTTGCAGCGTGTGTGTTTATTTTGGGATGAAAGGCTGTAATCTGTGTCTGAGAGATGCTTTAAAGTGTTCACTTTCCTGTTTTATGATCTATAATTATATAGCACTGGAGGGAATAAAGAGAGTACAAACATAAGCTCAGTTTGAACCAACCCAGTGTGAATAGTTTGGCTGTTAAACATGAATATTTGCAGAAGCAGTTGCAACAGACTAGAAACTGCTGGTGCGCTTGGCAGGAACACATAAGACTGGCAGGGACCAAGTGAAAGTGGACCGGTATAGATACTGAGCGTCTAATGAGAGAATGAGCTGCAGGTGAGGAGATGGGCGGACCAGGTGAGGAGAGTGAGTGGAATGCATGGCCTGAGAAAGTGACAGGACCTGAAACACCAGCAGAGTTAGTGAAGAAGCTGAACGAGATCGGAACGAACTTAGAGTCCCAATGAAGTAAAAATAATTAAGTGTTAAGGTAACTGATTTGGCAAATATATGGTTAAAAACTTTCCGCTCTGAATTAGCCTCTAATATCCCTCATTTAATACCCACCGTCATCCAAAATCCTAAAAGACAGTAGCATGTTGTGCTGTATAAGCAAAGGTTTGAAATTCAGTTACATCAACAACAAAAAAAGCCAAACAATGCGACGTGTTTCTGTTCTTCATTTACATATAGTCAAGGTTTTCCCACAGCTGTGAATCATTCCAAAACAAATAACCACAAAATGAAATAAGCCGAAAACGAGGTGCAACTGTACACTCTCCCACCTCGCTCGTCTTTCTCCTCCGTAATGAAGTCATTCATTTATCCATACCGCAATTGTATCTGCATGGAAATGTTCCCAAGGTGGCTCGCTCATTTCATTTAGCTGCTACCCAAGCACCAGCATCTTATTGATCACCAAATGAAAGATTAAGCACAATCCCTGCCTTGCTCTCTGCAGCCATATTTTTCTCTATTTTTCACCAGATTTGTGTCTCCAGGTGTATGGAGGGGTGAAGGGTGGACAGAGAATGAGGACAATGCATCCACTGGTTGCCAAGGACAAGCCTGTACATTGGTGACTGAACATATTGAGATTCACACCCCAAACATCATCATCTATCTCCTCTGTATCTTCTGCAAGATTCCTCATTTCCCTACTGCTACATATCTATTTCAGTGTTGCCCTGCTTTGCGGAGTATACATTATACTACACCCAATTTTGGAGCTGAAACTGGGAGTGAAGTTGCTGCAATAACCGTTATAAAGTCCATAACAACAGGACTGAAATTGTCTTCAATCACACTCGGTTCCTTTATCTGCAAATCAACAGTTCCTGCCATTTCAACGGACCAGAGTCGGAACCAGAAGTCATTATTTCATCTGCTGCTGCTTCCTGAATCAGGAACGTCAAATCTGGAATCAAAAGCTATTCTCTCCTCAGTGCTGTTGGTGTTATTCTCCATCCCCACTGCCACGCCATACACTCTTATTACTACCTCGTCTCCACTACGACCTGCATGAGGTCTGTTCAGCGGGGGACTGCCTACTGGTTGGAGTCCAGTGACCTCCCAGACTCTGTTAACAAATTAGCAGATCTGGGTTCCCCCTTATACCGATGATACTCCCGACGTGACCTCAGAGAAATACAGAAATTACATGTGTGTTCAATTGCTTGCCGCCACTACTGAAACAATATAACGTTCTTCTTCTGTAGTTTCCACGGACCGCTCAGACACTGTATGGTGACTGATCGTTGCAACTGTTAAAAATGAAGAGAAAGTGTTCAAAATGACTAACGTTGATTGTCTCGCTGAACCGACGTTGTCGGTGTTCGGGCCCTAAATACCACGCACCTAATCACCAATTAAACACTAATCACTGAAAGATAAACCTGTTGATAATGTAGACCAATAAATGAGCCGTACATAATTAACGTATGTTCAATGAAATCTGCAGAAAATCGCATTGACTCCTCGAAGTGTGCTATGATAATGTGCAGTAATCCAGTTGCAACTGAATATTATTAACCCAGTAGAACCCACCAATCCTCCTTGATTAATACTCATAACAACAAGAACAACAACATCTCTCTCTCTCTCTCACGCACAGAAAGAGAGAGAGAGAGAAGCTGATTATACTGCGTTGAGTTCACTTTAAGAACATTCTCATGCATGGCATGATTCTCAGCACCATGCGTCAAATAGTACAGCTTGGTCAACGTTCCTAAGCTTCAAACTGTGTCGCTCTACCTGCACCTCTAGCATCAGTTTTGCACGTATCAGGGACGGCGGGTCAAAATGCTGTTTGTTTCCCGCATAGTGTCTTTTTGAATTAAACTTCCGTCCTCACAGGAAGTTCGGTGTAGGCCACTTAGTCAGCTTTAGGAAAGAGCGTGGTATATAGACGTGTGACTAGCGAGTGAAAAAGGAGCCGTGTGACTAAAGTGACAACATTTGAACGTTTACCTATAGTTTAACACGGGACACAAACAGTTGTCTGATGGACAAAGGTCCTGTGTTTGTTTGACTCGTCCACCACTCGTCTGTGTGGACTATCAGCTGCTCTGAGTGTGCGATTGTGTCTTAAACACACTCTAAACGGTGCCTCATTCTGCTGCTATCAGATGCGTTGGGAGTGAGAACGAGATGGCATGTTGGGTTGCATTTCGGCATTGTTTCACCATGATGTCATCGTGACTTAAGAAGTAAAGAGATAAATGTGAATAAATGTAATAACTACGATACTGAACCATTGTTTCCTGCACCAAATTTCTCATTACTTTTAAAATAAAATGAGTGGTGCAATGGCCTAAATACATATATGTATGAAATCCATAATTATATTGAGTATGTTTATGATTTTTTCAGTTATCTGCCACTTCATTTAAATGTATGATACTAATACAGTATTACATATTCTCCATGACCAGAGGGGGACATGTATGTATTTATATAATTAATAGTTGGAAGCAAGTTACAGTTTCACATTTTCCAGACTACATGATGTTAAGGGGACATATGATGAAAAACTCACTTTTCAGTGCTTGTGCACATACATGTGGGTTTCTGGAGTGCCTTCCAACCCACACACTAAAGACAACATGATATGTCACCTTTAATAATTAGATAACCAGTTCTTTAGGTGCTTTACTTACCAAAAGCACATGTTTGACACTCATGATGAAGAATAAAAATACAGAGAACAAATGAGACGAGGAGCACTGCAGAGAAACAAACATGTAAATATTTTGTGAAGCGAGGTTCTTGTACTGAAATGATTTGCCCATTGTCTCTCCGGGGAGAATAAAACAGTTCAGTTTCTTATCCTCTGTAAAAATCTTAGAGCGTGATACCTTCAGATGTAGCTGCATGTGACATGCAAAACATGCAAAACAACAGGTGCAACTAAACAGGTAAAACAGCCAAAAGACGTTTCATTTGATTCCCCCCAGGACTCTGTAGGGAGAAATGAAACATCTCCCCTCGGTACCATAATCTGCTCCTCACGGGGTCCACAGTGTCCTGCAAATGTTTGATCCTCCTTGAAGCCACACCTGGTCTGCATCTTCTGTACTTGGCACCAAGTGGGGCACAATAACTATCAAGGAGGATCAGAAGGAGGATCAGAAACCTAGAGGACAGCAGCCCTCGAGGAGCAGGATCTGGCTGCAGGCCAAAACAGGGGCTTGTCATGAAGCCCAGCGCTCCACGGGCAGAGATGCTCTTCTTAAGGGTTCCTCTGTCACCTTGAATTAAATACCTTACAACAGAATAGAAAGCAGTTTTTCAAAGTCTTGAGAAAATAGAATTCAGGGACAAAGACCCTTGTGAAGAGAGTTTAGTGTGTGCTGCCTGTTTATTTCACCTTTGAGCCCTTTTTGGACAGGATTTCATCCACAAATGAGGTATTATTTGCACAGACCGTGGGACCTCTAGTACTTTGTAATAATTGGGGAGGTCGTCTGTGATCTAAATCCCGTGCGTTTCTGGCATGTAATATCTCAAGAAATGATTCCACCACAGATTACCTATATTTTGCCTTAAACAGAGGGCGTGTGATAATATTGGTCCTGTGCAAATCATCAACTCGAACCGTGAGGTCGTTTTCCTCAAATTTGTTTTGCAAGGTTTTTAGTTTTCTCCCTTTCATTTTAATTCTGATAATAGTGAGCCCTCAGCAGGCAGTATCAGTCTGCCTGAAGCAACTCTTCACAGCTGGATGAAGTCAGATTCTTATCCAGAAGCCAAGCCTCTGTGTTAATAAACCTACTCTGAAGTCTCTGCTCATTGGCTGAAGGACAGCGATGTATTCATGAGCTCTGGTGTTGGAAAATCCAAGCCAGAGGACAAACAAGCAACCGTCAGTGTCATGAAACAGTGAAGTTCGAAGCTACTGCGCGTGTGTTTAAAAGGACCTTACAATCAGCATTAACAGTGTTATGTATGTGTTCATAAACAGAATGTGATTATCGGTGGAATCGATGCTAAACAGTTAGGATCAGTGGGGCTGCTTGGATGATTATTGAAATCACTGCCGGGTGAAAACATCAACAGCCTCTGAAGAAAAAGAACTGGGGCATTCTCTCCAAGCAATCAGCAGACATTTGCTGAATACTGGAAAACATTTGCATAACTGGAGTCATTCAGAGTTGTGAAAAGAAACAAAATCCTCAAATGAACCAGACGTAATATTAGTGTTGTGTGTTTGGCAAAACAGCAGAAACTATTTCTTCATTACAGTTTTAAATCATGTGTGTCAAGCAGACATTTTCACTGTTTTTATAGGGAACAAAAGTATGAAAAGCAATTTCTAGACAGATAGAAAACAAACACAAATGAAGAACAGTGTCAGAAACTTTTTTACCGTTTCCAACTTTTAAAACCAGAGCCTCATTTTCAACCTTCGTCCCATTTTGACACATCATCTGTTCTTTCTTTAAAAGCTGTTTATTATGATCACTCACCACTTTATACTCCTCTCTGTCTGCTCTCCAGCCACAGAGTGTCTGCACCGTGTCCCATCATTCACATAAATACACACTAAAGCAGCAGATGCAGCATCGTTACACTACAGTGTACACCAAACTGCATGACAAGTGTTGCGCGTGTAACTGTACAAAGAGTTAAAAAAAAGTGTAAAACAATAGCTGTGGCCAAAGTGTTATAATAAGTTAAACGAGCAAAACGTTCCTGTGACAAGGCTTAGTTTGTTTAGTTCGGTATCTCATTTGCATATTTTAACATACAATTTAGAAAAATAAAGCACTACCATTTTATTTCCCAACATGATGGTCTAAATTGTATTGGCCTAAAAGTAATCTAATTGAATGTAAACTTCCCAGGGTTGTTAAAAAAATTCCAAATTAGGATGTTCATGGATAGAGCAAGGTACCAAGCTGCGTCTTTTGCTAACATTTCGTTTATGTTTATAATGGTGTGGAAAGCTCCCTCCAGCTTCAGGGTGGTACTAATACGGACTTTCAGTTCTGTTACAGATTCAGTTTGACTGGTTAACTTTGAAGTGCTGCTCAAATGAAGAATTGAAAGATGAATCAACCCATCTCTGGAGTTTTCTCTAAGCACTGTCTGACTCCCTGCCAATTAATAACCCAGCACAATTTTCTGCAGAGACATATTTCTTGTGTATGAATCACTCCTGAAATTACTGTGGGGACCTGCTAATAGTTTAGCTCTTCCAGGCTGCAAAAACATGCGCTGCAAGAAAAACCTGGTCTCTTCAGCACAACTAACCCGAGAACCTTTGCACTGTCGGGAGAAATAGACATTTCTTTTCAAAGTTGTGAAATTTAGACCAATAGGCAGGACATACTTAGTTAATTAAATACCCTCAAGTATAAAAAACAACACATTCAATTAAATCAAGCTTTAACTCGTATGAAGGAGGTTTCATTCCGACCCCAACAGGTCACTCATCGACCAGTCAGGAGAGCTCAGCGCAGGCCATCTGGTCAAGGGCTTCTCCAGCAGATGCATCACTCTTCAAGTCAACACCGCGACGTCCCAGAAAGTCCTGTTTTGAAAGAAGACTAATTTCATTACCAATCCATGCAGGTAATGATCTCATTAATTCACCGTTGATTCATTTTCAGCTGAGTGGATATTAACCTTTTGCCAGTAATCATTAATTTTGCGTGGGAGAGGTGTGGTGTGTTGTGATTGGAGCTACATAAACAAAACAATTAATAGGTTCCCGACGTTAGAGGTCGTTCATGATGTCCAGCTGACTTCTTACACTCAAATGATCGATTTATTGACCCCCCCCCACCACCAACAACACTGCTCTCAGCTCACACAGAGTATGTGGTGTCCCAGAAGTGACAAGGGGGGATTATTTGTGTTGTTTTGTGCGTTCATGCATGTATTTTGAGGACAATTATCATGCTCTGAATCCTCATAACTTTGCAGCAGGCAGTCAGCGATTGCCGTACAGCACCTGGCCACCGCTTCACAGTGTGCCTCAGACTAAACGCACTGACACTAAGGGCATTATTTATCATTTGAACATTTTAATTGACTGTTTTAGTCTTCTGAAATTTGTGTATAAAGAATCTGTTTACAGTATGTGGACATTGTTTTACAAACCAATCTGGAGCCTCAGGACACATCAGTTTTAATAGTGATATATCACCACATGAACTCCTTATTTCTAATTAGACTTATTTTAAGGACCAATCCTTCGAACTTATCTACCCCCTGAAAACATCCTAGTTATCTTCTTTATACTGAAACTTTGATAAAAGATGTTTTAAATGTGAGTGAGGATTTTCAGAGTCCTAACTTATCAATCACAAACTCTTCCCTCAGAAGTTACCACTCGCTCCCTTTTACCATTTTTGCAGAAATCCAACAAAGAATCGCTGAGTTCTGTAGAACTGTGCAGTACCATTACCGCCGCTGGCTTTCACTACAACAGTATAAGTATACTGCAGGTATGGTAAAGGAATAGAAATTACAGTTGCCAGTCACTAGTTTGTTTCTGTGAAAACTCAATTCACTCTATAAAGAACCCATATATTCTTGTAACCCAACCTGCATGTTTTTGCTTGCACTACTCCTCACATGAGCCTCACTTCGGTTGATGGGCTTCCACACAAGAATATCACACCCATTCATTTTTACTGACTGCTCTGAAAGGCACCTTGTAGTCCAGTAAATCCTCCACCGAGCAGGGAGATTTACAGAAACAAGACAACTGGAAAAACGATGCATAGAGTGTCTGTGCTCAGAATGGTGAGATGGTGCAGTCGAGTTAAGAAAGGGTTGATGAATGCAACATGCTGATTGTATGTGGAGGAAAGAAATTCTCCATTGCAAATGTTGAATGAACAGCAAAGGACGCAACAAGAAGAAGAATCATTCACGTCATC